ATAGGATAACACCATATACATGAATCGAAAGGCTGCAAAATAAATCAAAGTCGATACATGAGAAGCTATTAACAAAACAAATTGAACTAGCAAACTAGTATGGATGTTTGATTAGTGTTTGTTGCCAAATTCTCTTTTGAATTCGCAATACATTCATAATGTCAATGAACACAACTCTTGGCACTTCAAAAGATACTTCTTTTGGAACTTCAAGTGGCATAACCTTTAAAACTTCAAGAGACATTCTTGTGGATCTCCCAAAGTCATACCTATTGGTTCTTCAGAGGGCATGTTTCTTGATTCTTCATCTTGAAAAGGTATGCTTTTTTTTGGAGAATCCTACAAAACAAAATAAGAAAGAATAGGAAGAAAAGATTGGTTAGATAAAATTTTCTCATCGCTCTAATTTTCTTCTCCATATTCACTTCTCTCACTCTCATGTTATTTTTGAATCTTTTCATTCTCACAATCTTCTTTTATAACATGTTCATTTTTAACTTCAACTCGTTCTTCAGCAACTACTTCACTATCAATAATCTAAACTCTGCTTTCACGTTCAAGCTTTTCACTTCAAACTCCAATGTCTTTTATTTTCTCATGACGTTCTTGCATAAGATCAAAGTTATTCTTAATATGTTGTTGATCTTGAAGCACTTTGTCAGGTGCCATTGGTACTAATGTGACTCTTCTTCTCCCATGGATGAATGAATATTGATTTAAGAATCCTTTATGAGTGGCTCTTTTGTCAAATTGCCACGATCTTTTAAATAGCAAATAAGTTGTGCTCATCAAAACTACATGAAAAAGAACCTTATCCTTATATTAGCTAATAGAAAACGATATTACCACTTGTTGAGTAATGGTAATTTCTTCTTCATTAAGCCATTGTATTTCATAAGGATCTGAATGTTGCATTGTCTTCAAGCCCAATTTGTGCACCATGAGTGTACTTATAAAATTGGTGTAACTCCCACTATCAAAGACCACATGGAAAACTCTACCATCTACAAGGCATATAGTGTGAAATGCATTACATCTTTGATGTTCATACTCTATTGAAAGAATTTTAAGTGAAATACATAAATGACATGTAGCAAAAGGACCTTTCCAATAAAGCTATCACAAAGCCTCATAAAATATTCCAAAGAAAATAATAGAGGTCACTCTTACCTCGTGTTTGCACACTAGGACTTTTAATGGCTTTTTCTTTATCCTCTTTTGATCTCACTACACTAAAGCCTTTTAACACTCAAATCTCTCTTGTTAAGTTCTTGGAAGAACTAACTGAAGACTTTGGAAAGTTTTAATTTTATGTGTTGGCTGCAGATAGGGTTACAATAGAGAAGAAAATATGGATGCAAAAAGGGAAGGCTTAGAAAGAGGAAGAAAATAATGAAATTGGTGACTTATAAAGTAATAACAATATTTACAACCTCCACTCTCAAGAAACAATCAAGTAGAACATTTCTTCAAGTTTGGTTCATGACGGTAGATGTTGTGCCTTCCAATCCTTGAATTGAACTAAACTTCTTTGCTTTTACTTTGTTGATTTTTCATATTTTTCCTTGAGCTTTCGTTTCTTCTTTTTTATCTCCATTTGAAATGATTTTTAGCCTTATTTCTTTTGCACTTTCTTCGCACATTTCTTTTTGCTTGTTTTATTCTTTGTTGCAATGTTTTGCTTTCAAGGGACATTTCTTTGTTGATATACCAAAGCGATGATATCATTTGATAGAAAAGACCATCTACACTTCTCAAAGGGTGAAGAAGAATGACATGCCTTGATTATTTTTTGATCTATGATGAATAATAAGTGATGTTCCCATATTGAAAGCTTGGTTGCAAACAAGAAAAGTATATAATAGAATGGGATAAGTGATAAAGTAATAATTAAAATAATTGAAATAAGATAAGTATAGTAGGTAAGAATATAAGAGTAGGTTGCAGGAGAATATGATGAAGATAATGATATGCTGGAATGTCTTGAAGATAACCTTTACTGATGAAGATGGTGCACGCCAATGGTGACGATGATGGTTATAGTATCCCAAAGATGGCTGAAAGTGTTAAAGTATGCCCAAATGCCAATCATCAGATGATTATAATGACACTTTTTCTTTACCATTTCTATTGAATAAAGGCATTGCCACTATTATTTTCAGTTGTATTTCTATGTCTAACATAAATCGAAAGATAATAAAGTCCATATAGTAGTATGATTATTATTAAATATCCTTAGTCAAGTATTATTATGGGCATGGATAATAATAATACATTTAAGACTAACATGGAATTGATTGATGATAATGAGTTGTCATTGACATAGAGATGTCAATAACAATACATGAATATATTGTTAAAGAACAATATATTAGATTGACCCGCTATTAGTACGTGTCTTGGATTATTACCTGAAAGTTACAACATTGATTATGGTGATGACTATATGTATAATCCTCAGACTTGAGATAATTACTATCTCAACATATATTGTTATATGTTTTGATACAGTTAAACATGCTCCATAACTGGTTGCACTATAAAGACTGATATTGAACATATCACAATATGTGTAGTGAGATGTGAATGATTAAGATAGGATTTGTCCTTCATACATAATAGGAAACATATCACATGCCACTTGATTGAGTGAGACTAGAAATGCATGGGCATGCTAGAATAAGTTGATATGAGACATCAGAAATTATTTGTTTATTATAGTCTACTCTATATATCAAGAAATAATAGATGGGCTACACATTTGTGACTATTCCAAGACTTGTTCCTATTCTAGATATAAAGGACAAAATGATATAATATATAAAAGAGTTAGTCAAGAATATGTTATGTCGAATCATGGCTTCTTGTAAGTAAGGTGACAATGATATATTGCTAGAAGTCACTAATTGTTTGTAATATTAGAATGGTTCTAATAATTAATACTAATGTTACAGGAACTTATAGGGTTACACCGTGGAAATGAGCATATGCTAAACAAATTGTAATTGTACAATTTAATTATACATTAATGTAAATGTCTATAATTAAAGTCAATATATATTTGATATATATGTAACTTTAACAATCCCAAATATATATATATATATATATATATATATATATGGATATTAAATAAAATATAATTATGATTATGTTTCTTTTAATAAATATAAAATTTGGATTAATCATTTAATACAAACTAAATATAAGGGTTAGGGTTTCTTTCTCGTATAAAAGAATTATAATGTTTTATTAGTCGTTCCAATCTCTTTGATATTTTTCTCAAAACAGTTTTGTCAAAAAGAAAAAAACACTGCTCACAATCGGGTGAACTACGTAGAGGTCGAGACGATTTCCTAGAGGCCTTGGATTCGAGTTGTTCATGTTTGCATAGATGAATTGATGTTTCTCCATGAACCCGAGGTGAATTTCATACCTCTTCTTTTCAATTTCGTTTTTATCGTACATGGATCGCTGGTGAGATCGTCGAGTTTATTTTCGTTGCGCCATGGGGTGTGCCAATGGTCCTAACACAAAGAAGAGCCACGTATACGATACAAATTCGGGTTAAAATTCTTGGTTGATACGATGTGTATGAGATGCATGTTTGTTTTACTATTTTCAACAAATATATATGATATATACGTTCGATTCAGTGACTGTTGCGATTAATATGTTAATTCGGTTAAACAAATAATTATGATTGTTGATTAAATGTTAATCATATATTTGTTGTTCTACGATTTGGGATTTGTATACTAATTGTTAATATCACGAATGAATGAGTGTGATGAAAGATCAATGTCTATAGAGAAACAAAAGGTTGTTTCAGCGTGAAAAACATTAATCATTGAGAGATTCCTAAAAGCACGATTCTGGCGACATCGAGGCCATCGGACCCCTGTAAAGGGATCCACCCATTGACCCCTTTGGAGGAAACAAATATTAAAGGTCCATATTGGTAATTATTAACAAAATTCATAATGAAAAATGTATAATATGTTTGATATGCATGGTGTTTGACATGCATGGTTATAACCCTTTATTTACAATGGTTGCAAATTTTAAATACGAGTTGCGTGGCACATGAAGATTCAAATGAGCAGAAGAATATATTGGTGAAAAAAAGAAGATGCTTGAGAAGTTATCTTTACCTTTAGGTTTCTTAGTTCTCCCATTGGCTCGGGATGGGCCACCTTAGATATTTTTGTTTGGGCTATAACCATTGCATTTTATTTACTACTTTGTGTCTATCATGTATATGATGCAATGTATGATGTATTAGCAAGCTAATAAGTTGATGAGATCAATAAGGGCCTAATATTAAAATGAACAATGATGAGATAATTATAAAAATCGCTCTACATAATATAAGTTGATTTAACTATCCAATATTTACCCTCGTTAAGGCTTTGATAGATACTATATGGGTTTTGCCAAAGCAATGCCACATAAGTTTATCTTGCTTAAATGCGAATAATAAGCAAGTGATATTTACCGGTTGAAATATTGGTAATTGCTTGGCTAGGCTATTTTAATAAGATTAGAACCTAAAGGTTAATTATTTGGAAAAATCATGAGATGCTATGAACAAAATTTGTTCACCAAATGGAGGAATTACATGAGATGTAATTAGTAAGGTGTTACTTACCTAAATAACTATTCTCCAAAAAGAAAAGCCAAAGATGATTTATGAAAGTGTTGAAATATGGATCCTCACTCACTAGAAAGATTTCGAAAAGTTCTTCTGAAATTAAAATGCAAGGGTTTTCAAATTTGAATAAAATAGTGGAGGACTACTTTCAAACCTTTGATTTTTATTTTAGCTATTCCAAAATAGAGATGATCAAATTCATTCTTTTTGTAAAAGTATATAGACTCATCCTTTAGTCATCGATAGCGACAACAAACTTTTATTATGATTGATCCTTGAGAAGGATAAGTTGAATGGCTTGAACTTCTTTGACTGGTTTTGTAATTTGAGAATTGTTCTCAAACAGGAAATGAATGAATATTTCACTGAAAAACTTGTTCCTGACGAACCAGCAGGTAATTCTTCTAGAGCTGACAAAGAGAAGTTTAAGAAACACATGGATGAAATGTTAGATGTGGGATATCTTATGCATGCCACCATGACCCTTGAGCTTCAGAAATAACATGAGGACATGGTTGCATATGAGATGATTCAAAATCTCAATGAATTATATGAGGGATAATAACATCAAGAGAGTTACAAGACCTTTAAAGCTCTATTTCAATGCAAAATGAGTGAGTGATCTCATGTATGAGCTCACATCATCAAGATGATTGGATATATCCAAACGTTGGAGAAACTGAGATTTCCATTCAAGGATGAATGACCATTGATGTTATCATGCAATCGTTGTCAGATAGCTTCAACCAATTTGTCCTTAATTTTAATATGAATGAAATTAACAAGACTTTTCCAAAGTTACATGGCATGTTACGAACTAATGAAAGTAACATGAAGAATGTTGAACCTAAGCCCATTCCGATGGTCCGCAATAATAATGGAAAGGGAAAGAGTAAAATTATAGGAAAGTGTAAGGGTAATGGCAAACCCAAGCCCAAAGAAAAGAATGCATTGAAACCAAAGGGATGAGTTAGCAAAAAAAAAAAATGTTTCCAGTGCAACAAAACTAGTCATTGGAAAAGAAAATGCCCTGTTTACCTTGAAGAGGTCAGAAAGACAAAAGAAAATGGAACATTTGTTGTAGATATTTATGTTATTGATGTTAATTTGTCAACATCTACTTATTGGGTATTATATATTGATTGTGGTTCTCATATTTTTACTTCTGTACAGGGATTGCAAAAGAGAAGGAATCTGACTAAAGGAGACAAAGACCTACGAGTGGGAAATGGAGTAAGAGTTGTAGCATTATCTATAGGGACATATGTTTTATCTTTGCCTAGTGGACTTGATTTAAATTTATAGGATTGTTATTTTGTGACTAGTTTAACTAGAAACATTATTTCTATTTCTTGTTTGGACAAGATTGGTTTTGAGATAATTATAAAGAATAACTGTTGTTCGTTTTATCTCGATAGTGTTTTCTATTGTTCGACACAATTAGTTAAAGGTCTTTATATTTTGGATCAGGATAATAATATTTATAACATAAACACAAAAAGATAAAAGACAATTGACTGAAATCAGACTTATCTTTGGCATTGTCGTTTAGGCCATATAAGTGAGAAACACATATCAAAGCTCCATAAAGATGGATTCTTAGATTCATTTTTTTTCGAACAGTATGATATATGTGAATCCTGCTTGTTGGGAAAAAATGACTAAGGCTCCCTTTAATAATAAAGGTGAATGAGCAAGTGATTTATTGGGATTAATACATAGTGATGTATGTGGGCCAATGAATACGAAAGCCAGATGTGGATTCCAATACTTCATTACATTCACTGATGACTTCAGTCGGTATGGGTATATTTACCTTATTCTTCATAAATCTGAAGCACATGAAAAATTTAAGTAATTCAAAAATGAAGTACATAATTAATTAGGTAAGTGTATTAAGGCACTTTGATCAGATCGAGGTGGATAATACTTAAGCATAGAATTTGATGAACTCCTGAAAGAGTGTGGAATTGTCTCACAACTTACACCACCTGATACACCACATTGGAATGGGGTTTTTAAGAGGAGGAATCAAACACTGTTAGACATGGTTCGATCGATGATGAGTCACAGTGATCTTCTAACTTCTTTCTTGGGACATGCACTCAAAATAGATACTTTCACTCTAAATAATGCTCCATCTAAACTAGTTCAAAAGACACCATATGAGATATGGACTGACAAGCGTCCTAGTATGTTTTTTATAAAGATTTGGGTTTGTAAAGCTTATGTCAAACATCATATGTCTACAAAACTCGAACCTAAATCTCATAAGTGTATCTTTGTTGGATATCCTAAAGAATCTAAAGGATATTATTTCTTCAACCCTAGAGAGAACAACGTGTTATAGCTCTACATGAGTTTTCATCGAAAGAGAATTTCTCTCAAAGAAAGGCAAGAGAAGAAATATTGAACTTGGAGAAGTTCAAGAAAAAAATATCCCTAAACTAGAGGTTGAACATGTTCCAAAAGTAACTGAGGAACAATAAATAGATTTGTAAACACAATCACTACGGAGATCAACAAGAGAACACCGTACCTAATAGATATAGATTTCTCGTTACCACATATGGAGACGTTCTTATGATGGATCAAAATGAGCCTATAACTTATCAATAGACAGTGTCGAGCCCAAACTCTTAGAAATAGCTTGAAACCATGAGATTTGAGATGGATTCCATGTATACAAATCAAGTATAGACTTTTGATTGAACCACCGGAAGGGGCCAAACCTATAGGGTGTAAATGATTTTTTAAAAAGAAAATTGACATGGATGGTAATGTACAAATATACAAGGGGTGATTGGTTGCTAAAGGCTTTCGACAAGTTCATGGTATAGACTATGACGAAACTTTATCCCCTGTACCTATGTTTAAGTCCATTTGCATCTTGCTTCTAGTAGCTGCATTCAATGATTATGAGATCTGTAAAATGGATATCAAAACCACTTTCCTTAATGAAAATCTTGAAAAGGATGTGTGTATGACAGAACTAGAAGGTTTTGTCACTCCTGGAAATATTGGAAAGGTTTGCAAGCTACAAAAATCCATTTATGGACTAATGTAGCTTTTCGAAGCTAAAATCTTCATTTGAATGAATCAATCAAAGAGTTTGGTTTTATCAAAAATGAAGACGACCCACGTGTTTACTAAAAGGCTAGTGGGAGCATTGTTTTTTCCTAATCTTGTATGTAGATGACATATTCGTCATTGGAAATGATATACCTACGTTACAATCTGTTAAGATTTGGTTAGAAAGTTTATTTTATATGAAATATTTGGGTGACGCATCTTATATCCTAGGAGTTAAAATATATAGAGATAGACCAAGACAACTCCTAGGTCTAAGTCAAAGTACATACATAGATAAAGTGATGAAAAGGGTCAATATGGAAGAATCCAAGAAAAGGGTTTATGCCTATTAGACATGGTATATCATAGTGGAAGGAAATGTTTCCTTTAACTCTACAAGATAGAGAACGAATGAAGAAGACCCATATGCTTCGGCTATTGGTTATATCATATATGCCATGATATGTACTGACCCAGATGCATCATATGCTTTAAGCATGACGAGTCTGTATCAGGTAAATCATGGTGAAAGTCATTGGGTTGCAGTTAAAAATATCCTTAAGTACTTAAAAAGAACAAAGGATACATTTCTTGTGTATGTGAGTGAAGAAAAGTTTACTGTAAAAGGTTACACTGACGCTAGCTTCCAAACTGACAAGGAAGACTCACGATCACAATAACGTTTTATGTTTTGTCTTAATAGAGATGCTGTGAGCAGGAAAAGTTCAAAGCAAGACATAGTAGTTAATTCTACAATAGAGGCTGAATACATTGCAACCAGTGAAACTACTAAAGAGGTTGTTTGGATCAAGAAGTACATAACTGAACTAAGGTTTGTTCTCAATATATCAGATGATATAGAACGTCGTTCTGACAACAATGGAGCCATTGCACAAGCAAAGGAACCCATATATCATCAACAATCCAAACATATTTCGAGGATCTTTCATCTCATTCAAGGGATCATAGATCAATAAAATGCGGAGATATGCAGAGTACACAAGATGATAACATTGTCGATCCCCTAATGAAGGCTCTAGCACAACAGAAATATGATCGTCACACTAAGTCACACGGTATTAGATATGACTTCTTGTAATTTAGGTGACAATGACATATTACTAGATGTCACTAATTGTTTGTAATATTAGAATGGTTCTAATAATTACTACAAATGTTATAGGAACCTACAGGGTCACACGCAGGGTTGAAATGAGCAGATGTTAAACATTTTGTAATTTTACAATCTAATTATACATTAATGTAAATGCATATAATTAAAGTTAGTATATATTTGATATATATGTAAATTTAATAATACTAAATATATATATGGATATTAAAGAAAATATTTGATATATATTATTATTATATTTCTTTTCGTAAATATAATATTCAGAATAACCATTTAATACGAAATAAAGCTAAGGGTTAGGATTTCTTTGCCGCATAAAAGTATTATAACAGTCTTGCATTCATTCCAATCTCTTTGATATTTTTCTCAAAATAGTTTTGGGAAAAAACTTCTCACAACCGGGTGAACTGCGTAGAGGCCGAGATGATTTTGTGGAGGCTTTGGATTCGAGTTGTTTATGACTACATAGACAAATTGTTGTTTTCCCAGGAACCTGAGGACAATTTCATATTTCTTCATCCCGATTTTGTTTTTATCGTACATGGATATCTGATTATATCATTGAGTTTATTTTCGTTGCGCGGTGGGGTGCACCGATAGCCCTAACCCAAAGAAGAACCTATGTTAGAGAAACTAGACCCATACTTTATATACTTCTTTAAGGGTTGGTATAAACGAACTTGGACCCACTATCTATAAAGAGATAAGAACTACAAGTATCAAGGTGAGAAAGATAGAGGTGACGCCACAAGTATAGAATACTTTATAAGTTGATATAGTTCTAAAAGGAACTTAAAGAGAGAAAACCTCACAAGCGTATTGATATGAAAAAAATGTATGTCTTACAAATGCCAAGGCATTGGCTTTTATAGATTTCCAAAGGACATGGCTGAATGGTGAAAATCTATTTGGCTAGGATGAACCCTTTGGAAGGTACATGTTCATTTAATGAAAAAGATGTCCCTAAGCCTAAAATAAATTAATAAAATCGGTATTTTAGGTAGCTAAATAGGTAGGTGGTGTAGCTAGCTAGGAAACTGAGGTAGGTGGTATAGCTAGCTAGGAACTGAGGTAGCTAGCTAGTTAGCTAAGGTAGACACTTAGGTAGGTAGTCAGGTAGTTTATGTACCTAGTGTCACTTCCAGTGCTCCAGTTCTCATCCAGGTAGTCTAGCTTCACTTGTCACCTCCCTAGACTTTACCTTAATTACAGCTAGATTCAACTCTCATTCAGCTCATTCAACTACTTTTTTAACTCCACTAATATCCTTTGAGATAAGTGAGTTATCGTATCAC